TAAGAAACATTTCACGGACTAAAGCCGAGTTCACAACAACGTCGTCTGTCGCATGTCTTTTATCGTATTTTACAGATTAACTGTTGTACAATAAATTATCATTCACTAACCTTGATCTACCAGAAAATTTCTAGAGTCGAGTCGAGCTCAATTTTTAGTCGCGAAACGGCAGACGACGGCGTATCATTTATAGGTAATGACTTTTTTTTATAGAGTAAAACATATATTACCTAGTAACTTATTAGTTGGGGTCGGTCAAGAAGAGCGTATATTGATTCTACCGATTAAATATCAACTACTGAATGCTGTTCGCATTAAGCACCTATAATTTCACAGTATTAGTTTTTTTTAAGTATACAAAAAAATAAAAATTTAATAATTTATATCAATAAACCATATTTGAAATTTTTTTTTTTGAAAATTATATATTTGTATAACTTAAAATTATTGTAAACAATACATTTATAAAGACATTAATAGTTTTTATATAAATGATATGATAAGTGATTCATGACAAAAATTCACATTTCTGCCACGTAGTTTAAATGTGAATTTTTTTAACATTATTTCGTACCTAATTTTTAGTCAATATCGATCTAATTCACAAAAGTGTCCTAAAGTTCGCATGTTCAATAATTTTTAAAATTTAAATTGTTATACTGAATTTTTTAATTTTTTCATCCCAACCTAATTTTTTTTTTTATAAATTCAATGTTAAATAAATATATAATTATAATATTATAAATATTATAACTAGTAGGTATTTGGTAACCTACATTTTCTAAATAAAAAATGTATTTTTATTATTTTTATCGCTAAACTCGTTTAAGTTTTTGTATATTTAAAAACAAAATAAGATTATAGAATCAATAGATAGTCAATATTAACAGTAACCGATGGAGTTAATAAATCCTTGTCGGGAAGGCCGACGACTTAGGTATCCATATTTCATATTATTTATGTTAGTGGTAGATACAGAACATGATTCGTGTTAGTCATCTAATAGTGCTGGGTGAGAGGAAAGATAAAATAGCTTGTACTAACCTTTATTATAACAATGTAATGTAGATAATTTGCGAATGACTTAACTATTTTCCTCGATAACGTATAATAATATATGTCAACATATTATATTTCATTATAAACTTAATAAAATAATATTAAAAAAATGTTTTACATGTTTTATTAATTAACAAAACTTTATAAAATTTGATGAGGCGTAATGATGTATTACTGAATATTAAAATGTCCACGAATTCCGATAAACTGAGTTTTAATCGTATTATTCTAGTTGGATAATATCTGCATGTATTCTGTAGACTGACTATATGTGGTAAGACGGTATACTAGGTACACTACACAAATATAAATTTGGTTGTTACATTAAATAACAACGACATATAAGTAATGATAGATTGAAAATAAAACTCAAACAATTAATTATAATATCTTCTTTATTAATTTATTAAAAAAGTGCGTTTAAATGTTTCAATTATCAAACAATAATCTAAATTGTGCGTATATATATATTATATATATAAATATAAATATATACATATTATATGTTTATATAAATCGGAATCAGTTTAAAAAAATTACAATATTATTGCAATATAGTATCTGTAAAAGCGAGTTCGTACATAATTATTTCTCGCATTTTGAGAAAATATTGTGTTTTGCTCCTAACGATCTAAATTCTATAGACAACACATAAATGTTGGTATAAATGCATACATAAAACGCCGTCTAACAACATAATGTCAAAAGTTGTAACAATTTGTATTAATATTGTTGTTCATCGTTTCAATATGAATTATAAATTGATGTATCAGAAAAAATAAATTAGACTAATAAATTTTTATTAGATAAAATAATAATATGATCGAATGTTGAATAAGATTTTTATTCGGTGAATTTGACCAGAAATGTATGTAGTTTGTTAAAATATACTTATCTAATTGATATCAAACCATTCGCAAAAATTTATATCTGATACTCGGAATATATTAATTATATAACAATCTAACCGTACAAATGAATATTAAAGTTAAATTAATCGTTGTGTAACCAATGTAATACAATAGTAATAATAATAATGTAGGTCTTGGTCAAATTCTCTACACTCGTAATCCCGACAAATTAAATACGTTTTAGTTAAGCTATATAGATCACTTATAATTATATTATACTTTTATCATTGATATATTATATATATATACATATATAAATAATATAAGTATTATTGTTGCATGTATATAGGGTGATTTTCAGCTCATTATTTTAGAAATCACTAACGTTTTTGAAAATATTTATTTTAAATCATTTTAAAACAATATTTTTAGAAAATAAATATAATTTTACTAATTTTTATATACTTATTAATCGTTTTTTTTTTTTTTAATTTTTACTCTTGAATGAAAAAATAAATTTTTATTTTATATTCCGAAGCAGAATATTATGCGGAGTATTTATAGTTTGAAATTGAAATAACAGATTAGTGAAACAATTTGCGAAAATTATTCCACTTCGTTCATTTAAAATGTATTCATTCATTCATCAAAATTCAAATACTTATACCTCATAAAATACTAGTCAAAAATTTTGTGTAATTTTAAAATAGTAAAAATATAATTTATTTAAAAAAATGTTTAGCTATTTAAAATATATAATAAAAATATTTTTAAAAACGTTAATAGTTTTTGAAATAATAAGTGTTCAACATAAAATGAATCACCTGGTATATACCTCAATCTGCTTAAAATAATAATAATTGTTCATTTATTTTTTTTATTTAAAATAAAAATTTGAAGGGATTTTGAGCGTATTCTTATTAATATGAAGTCGATAAAAGCACGCATGATATAGTTATAATAATAATATAGTTGAAATATAATTTTATGCATTAACTATTCCACTACGCAGTAAAATATGTTTTATTATTTTGTGCTATTAAATAGGTACATAGTCGTTGTCTGGATAAAAACTTGAATATAAAAATATTTGTATATAGATATATTAAGTCTGTGCGCATGCACACAGACACTTGTGTGTGCGCGATTGACATTTGTTATGTAACTATTGGCTTTGTTATGTAACATTTACAATGATGCAATTATGTATGGCAAAACAGCTTAATGAGTCGTTAATATATAATATATATGAAATGAACCAAAATTTAAATTGACAAAAAACAAAATATACAAATAAAAAAAATAAATATTTGATAATTAAATTATTATAATAGTTATACATAATAATAATATGTATGTGTATATATATATTAAAAGTAGTAAATAAATAAACAACATAAAATGTACAATAATATTGTAGTCAATAAATATGCATGCATATGTACATAGTGTACAACGTACATACTTACTATATCAACACGGTAATAATATTAACAAAAAATAAATAAATATACACATACAATATCTATGTCAATATCTTTATATATCCATATCATATATTTTAATGTATACATAAATGTACACTTATAAAGATTGAAGAATACATATATTATGATATATTTGTTATGGTGTACAACTGAATGATGAAGGAAAAAATCAGGATAAAAAAAATAAAAATAATAAGTTAATAATGCTGGTGCTGAAGAAAAGGATATTATATTATATAATATTAATTTAGAAGCATATTAAGTTATAAAAAGATATTATGTATATATAAATATAAAAGTAGTAAGACGTAGCGCTTTTGTTTGATAAAAAAAAAAAATTAACATGTTATAATTCATCTCGAAGATGATAATTATAGATCGAGGTAACGAGTATGTATATAATATAAAACAAAAACATTTATTATTTTTTTTTTTTAATATTATAATATGCACTTATTATATTATGTAGTATATATATATACTTATACCTATCTACCTACCTATCGTTGCAAAGCAGTCGTAATTACTTAACAATATTACCTATTCATAAGCCTAAGGTAACATTCGAATGACTATAAACAGTATAATATTATATATTACTATTATAATAACCGCTCGCTACATTATAATGTATATAAAATATATATGAATAGTCGTGTATTTTATTATTTTATTTATTGAATTAAAAATTGTTTTTAAATATATGTATATATATAATATATTAAAAAAATAATTTGTAGCGATGTATAAATCAATGCTATTTTTGTAATGTCTTTATGAATTGTGAGTGTGCGGTATCCATACGTGAAAGCGCTAATGCACCGGTGAGCGTATTATTTAGGGCAAAAGTAAATGAAAATATAAAAACGGAGGAGGAAGAGTGACGAATGAGAAGAAGAAGAAGAAGAAGAGAAAGAGGAAGAAGTAGAAGAAGAAAAAAGGAGCAGTAGAAGAAGAATAGTAATAATAAGAAGTGGAAGACTCGCGCGGCATGACGTGCGCACGTGTGTTACGTTGGATTAAAAAACAAACTAAAAGCGATAAGAAAATAAAAAATAAAATAATCTAGTTGTAAAATATGGCTGGTAGTTTTTTTTTTTTGTTTTTTTTGGTTTATTTGGCATAATGTCATAAAAATATAATATAATACAGTGAAAAAAAATATCTAAAAATTTATGGGAGGAAAAAAACAATCGGCGTCGAGTCGAAAACGAATGAGAGGCGTGTCGGCGGCGTACACGATAATATTAATAAATATTAGATAAAATATTTAATACATTTAATATTAATAACGTGCGTATACATTATACTATATATACCTATGTATATTATATTAAAATAAATTGTGCGTAGGCGCGCGACGACGAGGGAACACGACGACACGAAAAAAAGGGTCTTCGTCGTCGTCGTCGTCTATCGAATAGGACTCGCGGAACACACCGTGCTCGGCGGCAGTGGCGTCGTCACCGCTTGGCCGCCGCCGTATATCGTCGTCGGCGTCGTCTTGGTGGTCATCCATCGCTCAGTGTTGCGACCTGCTCTTGCCGCCGCCTGCACCACCGCCACCGTCACCGCCACCACCGCCGCCACCACCGCCGCCGCCACCACCACCGCCGCCGCCGCCGCTGCTTCCCCCCGCTACGCCGCCGTTCTTCCGCCTCTGCTTTTGTTGCTTTTTCTTGGGCGACTGCACCATGCAGGCGCACCCGCTGCGCACCTTTATGTAATCCAATTTCCAAACGTTGTTGTCGTTCGGGAACAGCGACTGGAACGTCTGCTTGCCACCGTTGCTGTTGTACTGTCCACCGGCGCCCACGCCGACGCCGTGGTGGTGCCTGGCGTTCTCCTCGCGCACGATCGCGTACGAATACGAATACCGTTGCACGCACGTCGAATGGCCGTGCAGTTTGCGTTCCATGAACAGGCACGGCTTGCCCTCGACGCCCGGCTTGCACGACACCTCGTAGAACCTCTGCTTGTCGGCCCCGTCGCTGAAACAGACATTGATGTGACGACGATATTATTACGTTACGACAAAAACAACAACAACAACCGTATATGGGCAAGAATAGCGCGTGTTTGAGATCAGGGACGTCGAGTTTTGGATACGCACCGGACTGTCGCGAGGCTTTTCCGGCACATTACAAGAACCCCAGACCTCCCCAAAAGTGAAAAAAATAAATAATAATATTCTCGCTACGGCCCAAATAGTCTGATAAATCATAAATATTTAAACGCCGCGATTAATACGCGTACACAATAATATGAGGTTTTTATTTTTGGAATACATAAGTCATTATTTAATGATAATAATTAGTAATAAATACAATGTCATCAATTCGTATACACGACAGAACCGTGCGCTATCACTCATTTTGATATTAAGTACAATACTTACGCGTGTAATACAAAAATACAATCTATAATATGACGTCTAGTCTAAAGTCTAAACGCATGTCTACATAATATAAACACCTATCGAGTATCGAGTAGTTGTAGTAGTTGATGATCGGACATACGATTTGGTCAATCGACGCGTATAAAAACTATTGCGTACGAATTAAAAACGACGATAATCTTGTATTTTTGTAAATATTTGTATTAGGTAGTGAGTAAAATTTTCACTATAGATGATGTCGACGTAGTGTCTGTTTTGTCTCTCTGACCTACGCAAATATGACGAATATATTTGATTTCGGTAGAGCGGTTACTTCCGTGTTGTTAGTTTTAAATTTTCAATTTTAAAGTGAATTCATCTGTGTTATATAATTTAATATTGAGATCATTATCTGTATTCATTTGTTAACTTTTTATGATATTCAGATTTTTATACAAGTTATATAATACTCATTTAAAATATTACACTTGTTAACGTACTCAATAAATTGCATAAAAAAAAAAAAAAAAAATTGAAAAACGCAATTGTTTGCTGAAACAGAATGAGATACCAAATAGTGAATCGACATACTCTGAGCACCGCGATCATAAAAAATAGAACCGGAAGGAAGACGTTCTTTTCTAAACGCCTTCTATACTATCCTATAGATATATTATTATTATTATAAACATTTCGTTTAAACGTAAATCGTTTTTTTTAGTTTTTTGTCTTTCCGCTCGCAATGACGCACACGTATATATTATAATAATAATAATAATAATAATAATTATTATTATTATTATATAGAAAGCCCGCGCAACGGTTTGAAAACGTTTTCGGAAATGCAACGCAATAAAAAAATTGGAAACGAGATATCGTCGTCGTCTCTCCGTTCGTCGTTTGTTTTAGTGTCAGAATATAAAATATTATATGCCTATTCACTGCCGACGTACAGATCTTAGATGATTTGGTATATATATTATTATATTGTATAGGCCACATAATAGGTATAAGCATATGCGTGTGTAATATAATACTATATCTATGAGCTCGCGTGGAAGATAACGAATATCGATAATATTATATTATGTTATGCCGCCACGCCACGCCGTGTCGTATGCGTTTAATCAAAAAGTCGTAAAAATTAAATTAAATAAAAATGCCATACATAATATATTAATCGTTTGCGTTTGTTTAGGCCATTGTGCGTATAATACCTGCACAAAATATAAAGATAATATTATACGAGTATATTACGAGCATATTATTACGAGTATATCAATTGTATTCAGAACCCCTCTCGCAAATGTAATACTACATTCTGCAGTCAAATGAGTATTATATCTATAGCACAATATTATTTTATAAATAAGATGATCCCCTGAGTATGCCCCTCCCATCTACAATGAATTTATTCAAATTCTGATTTTTAGAACCTTTAAGTATATTTTAAATTATTTAGATTTGTTCATACTATTATTATGGAGTGTCTTGCGATGATACTAACTTTTTGTTTTTATACGGAAATTACATTTTCTCCCTGTGAATTATTAATTAGATGACTTTATTAAAAATTTGTACTTATCTAAATTGAAATTCGAAAGAGTAATTTTAATTTAGTGTACTAAAGATGATAATTCGTATCAATTAATTTGAATTGTACAAGAACTATGACGGATTGAAAACTTGAGCATAATTTATTATTAACGTGAATTTATTAACATTTTATAATTTGTGAAAATCAGGTCGAGTAATAGGTATAATAAATACTATATAGAGTAATAGTACGTCCATTTTATATTTTTGTAAAACCATTTTTAAAGACTATTATTATTATCTTTCTAGTATAATATAAATATTAACAACATTCTTATTTATATACATCAACATTTTCAAAAAAACACTGCTTAAAAATTTACACTAAAAAAGTTTAGTAAGCTCGTATAATAGGGTTATAGGGGCGACTAACATGAATATGTTTGCGAGCCATGTGAATAAATACAATGCTGTTAAGAGCCAACATTTTTATGAATACATTTTTTGTAATTTATATAAATTTTGATTTTTTAAACAAGATAGGAGTCACATTTAACCATGATGAGAGCTACACGTTCACCACCCCTGTTATATTTTATATATAAAATAGAATCATCCTGTGTATAAATGTATATAGTATATGCGTTGTAATAGACCTCGTGTGTGTATGATCCGAAGACGGATGAAATGAAACAAATATTGATAGCTTGTGTAGGTATAGAATAAAATATATAAATATATAATACTCGTATAGTATTATTTTATATTATGTTTATCGATAACGATGAATGGTTACAATACTATTGCGTTGTTAGCCGAACTTAGAATATATTTTATTTTGTATGTATATATTATTATAGATGTCCTTCGCGTTAATTTATTTCATTGGTGGTTTAATTAATTCGTGAGTATGGTGGGGTATCGCAAAAACAAATGACTGATTTTCGATATTGGATAAAATCACAATTTTTCAAACAACGATTAATAATGTAAATAAAATGGTTGAAAAATAAGTCATTTATAGATGATTCGATGTTTGTTTTGTAGTAGTTGATCGGATTTTAAAGCTGAGCATCTCCAAAACACATACACACAAATAACAATATTCATAATATTATAATGCAGTGGTTACAATAAAAACCACTTCGATCATCATGATTATTATCTCAAAAATGACCATGTTTTTTCCCACGCTAAAATCATTTTCTTACGCTCCACGAGGTCTGATTTATTATCCGTGTGGTTGATTCGTTTTTAATACAAACAAGTTTTATTAGATTATTATGGTACAAATAAAAAAAAAAAAAAATCATAACAAAACGATTATCGTGAACTTTTAGTGTGATAATTTACGAATTTTGTATGTTTTAAACGTAAGCATGCAAGAATGCAAGAGCTATTATAAAATAAACACGTGTATATCACAATTTATTATCATTAAATCCAGTTAGAATTTTGCGTAAAGAATCCAATATATAACACGTGATGGTGAGAGCCGGTTGAACATAGGTAACCATGTAACGAACGATATTACCTAATCGCAAGCGGTCATAATAATATAAATATATAAAATCAGCTAGACATATTATAATATTTTCGTTATGTTCTGCTTTGAGCTGTCTAATGATTTTTTTTTTCTTACTATTTATATAGGCAATCCTGAATTGTGATTATAATTAACATAAATGTGTATATTATGTTGAGTACGATGGCACAATCCCTTCCTATCACCTCCAATAGCATATAATTACCTGTTTTATTAATAAAACAATTTAAATTAAAGATTTTATTTTTATTTTATTAACCTAGTTAATAAATAATAACTAATATGCATTAGTGTCACAATGTATACTATCTGTGATGCTTAAATGCGTTTTAATAAAAAAAAAAAATAAATAAATAAATATAATGCATTTCTAAATTTAACACCTTTCCTCACATAAAATATTAATAAACAATCCTGTTTGCGCTACGAAACTTTTGAGAATCTTATCAAAACAGCAATTCCCGGACAACAAAAAAATGATCAGTCATTGTAAGTCCTATAGCCGTATTGTATAAATTACAGTTCGAAATGAACTGCAAATGGAAAATTAAAATATATTATTCTATATTTTTATTGATTGATAATAAAAATGAACCGAATTTCGTTTATAGTCGGAGTTTACCTTCAACCTATACCTATGTATAATATATTAATATGTGTGTAAGTGGATACAAGCATAGTGGCTGTGGTTAGAGTAATAATAAAAATAAACTAGAATAAAATGTTCGTATATTATATTCCGAAACCGGTTAAAGCATAACCGGAAACTGTAAAAGCACCAAATGGTGTCAACGACTGATAGCAATAAAATACATTTGACTTTCGATAACTATAATATCAATGAATAACTTAATGGTCAGCGCGACTTCAACTGCATGGACGAGACTTTCAGAAATCCCGTATACCTACAACGATTACATACACACCGGTGTACACATTTGTATATGTCACTCGACCATTATACAAGCCTATATAGCGGCCTTACATCGGTAAGTAGTGTTATTAAAAACAATATACCAATGTTGTCGTTAACAAGGTAAAGCGCTTAATCGTGAATAATTGTGACAAATGAAAATCCAATCGGACAGGTATGGGCATCCTCGTGGATTTAGATAAATTGTGTTCACCGTCGCACGTTAACCAACAAAATCCGTTAACTTCTAACGCACAATATACATACAATATCACTACACTTAATAAAATATTATACAGAGTAATTCACCGAACCTACAACTCAATTCCATTTTACCTTTAATACTGATTTTTTTTATACTTTTGAAGTATATTTAGTAGTTTAATTTTCAATTATTTAGAGAAACAGAAATGTCATAAGGCGATGAAAGTTATTTTTTTCAAATGAAAACTTATCTTTTTTACTATAAATCATTAAACAAAGTTTTTTTTTAATATTTCTATGTAACCCATTCAAAATTTAGGACGATAATTCTTAAATATAGTTTTACTAAAATTTAAAAATATCTATAATGCTAATTTTATTATACTCGTACCCTAGAAATTATAATAATGTTAAT